TAAATCCAACAAACAATTGGTAAGTAGACTCATGAAGTCTTTCTATGGGCTTAAGCAATCACCAAGAGTGTGGTTTGAAACGTTTGCTAAAACTATGAGATCTAATTAATATTCTCAAGGTCAAGCTGATCATAATTGGTTCATAATAAGCATTCATGAATGTAAGATTGTTGCACTGATATTATATGTGAATGATATGATTCTTACAGTTGATGATGAAAGAGATATTTACAAGATCAAATATGTGCTTGCCACTGAGCTTTAAATCAATGACCTATGAACCATGAGATATTTTCTAGATATGGAGGTAGCAAGGTCCAATAAAAATATCATTATATCACAGAAGAAATACATCAAAGAATTACTGAGAAGATCGAGATTATTGGATGGAAGCATGTCGATACTACAATGGATCCCAAAATAAAGTCTAATAAAGGAGAAGGAAGTGGATAATACAATATATAAAAGATTGGTAAAAGAACTTATCTACCTGCCATATACAAGGCAATATATGCATACTCTATCAGCTTTATGAGAAAACATATAAATAGCTCAGATGAAGAGCATTCCGAGATGATGTACAGAATTCTGAGATTTCGCAAGAAGACCCTTGGTTATGGATTATTTTTTTAGAATATTAAAAACAAAGAGGTAGAAGTCTATATTGATGCAAGTTGGGATGGGGAATTCACTGACAAAATGTCCACCACAGGTTATTGCTCGTATGCATAAGAAAATCTAAATACATGGAAAAGTAAGAAGCAAGTTGTTTCTAGAAACAGTGATAAATGAGAGATGACACTTGCCTTAGGAATATATAAAAGGATTTAGATTTAATAATTATTAAAACAATTGGGATGCACCTCTAGAAAGCCTATATATATATTTTGCGACAGTCAAGCAACCATTAGTATTGCCAAAAATCCAAAACATCATAGCATAACCAAACATATTGAAATTGATAGGCGCTTAATCTATAAAAAATTAAAGGTGGAATTATACAACTAAGCTACATCCCGACACACCAACAAGTTGTTGATGTCTTCACTAAAGCTCTTCCTTGAATATAAACTTCATCTATTTAGTAAGTTTGTAAATTAATAAGGATTGACTCACTATATATATATATATATATATATATATATAAGTGTATGTGTGTGTGTGCACACGCACGCGCACTACATGTGAATAATGAAATGAAGTAATTTTTCTTCCCAAGCATTTACTGGAATGTCTACATAGGAGAGCCATGTATTACTGCCTCGCCTCACACAAGCACTTAGGCAAGCATTCAAAATGCCTTTGATAACAGTGTTTGAGATTTGATATTAACATGTTAACCTTCATCAAGTTTGCACACGTACTGAAGCAATATTAGAAGTGATTAAATCACCTTTCACAGCTGCTATGTACAACTTGAGCATGACCCAGGTATATGGAGTCATGGAAGAAAAATACTTGAGTTTTTACAAATTAACCCAACACAACTAGTCTAATTATAATATCCCTCCACATTATATACTATAGGCACTCGTTAACCCAACCAAAAACTAATCAAACTAACCAATCAAGCATGAAAACAACATAATGGTTAAATGTAACTCAAATCCACACAAATGCTGCAATCAACTTGCCCATGCCAAATCACCATCTACTCTAGCAAACAAAACATAGAAACTTAAGTTGCTCAGAAGACCAAAATTTTAAAAAAGAATCCAAAACCCCGTTTGATCACAAAAGAGTAAAGTGTCAAAATTGTCCTCCGACTCTTTGCATGCTGTCATTTTAGTCCAAGAATCATTAAAAGTGTCAATTCAGTCCCCATATTTTTTAATGAGGTCTAAAATAGTACTCAATGGAGACTATTTCAACCTATATATAGTCGGTGGGCTATTTTGCCATTTTATTCATTCATACAATGATTAGGTGAAAGTATATAATGGCAGGTGGATTAGTCAAAAATCATTGCCTACAACCAAAAGTAGCAAAACAAACTTTCTGTAACAGTCAGGACCCAAGCCAAGAAACACAATCAAAACAAATGAAAGAAACCATATTTAAGTGCAAAAGCTACCACTATTTCATATCACCATCAATCATCATGATTCCCAAATGCCTAAGCCCCACATATACTCTGATCCACTCATCTTGTGCCATGGGAATGAAATATGTGCATGATCTAATGACAAAAATACTAAATTCTATTAATGCATTGGTTATATATGGAGTGGAGTTGGCACAGCTGAACCAGCTAGGGCAGAGCCGGTCCAAAATGGCAAAATAGTGAATTGAAGGCCCGACACACGACTGGGGGAAGCCTGGGCGTCGTTCCAATTCATGCTTAAGCACAACGTGGGAAGTTAGAACCATGTAGCAAATGCACTGAGTTGCCAACACTTGTTGATCACTACGATGCAACCCCGCTTCATGGGCTTTGAAGTGGTAAAAGAGTTTTTAAAATGGAGGATTTCGAAAAAAATCCAGGAGCAGTGTCGGGAGAAGCCTACTGGGCAGTGCTACAAAGTCGATGGTTACTTGTTATATGTTCCAAAATGTTCGCTGAGGAATTCCATCGTTCAAGAGAACCACAGTGGAGAACACGCATAGCATTTTGGTAGAGACAAAGCTCTCGCACTCGTGAGAGAACACTTCTTTTGGCCCCCACTGGAAAGAGATATAGAGCAACACGATAGGCAATGCAAGATTTGTCATATGGCAATAACCAAGGGGCTGAATGTAGGGTTATACACCCCCTTACCAATACTATAGGCACCATGAGTAGACTTTAGCATGGACTTTGCGGTAGGACTTTTGAGAATACAACACCATAAGAATTCAGTCCTGGTGGTCATGGATCGATACTCGAAGATGGCACATTTTATACCATGCCATGGGACACTGGATGCCTCGAACGTTGTCGACTTATACACCAGAGATTTTTTGAGATTGCACGGGATAACCATGACCATAACATCAAATAGGGATGTCAAGTTTATGAGTTACTTCTAGAGGACTTCGTCAGAAAAATTAGGCACCAAGGTTCAATTCAATTCAGCAGCACACCCTCAAACGGACAATTAGAATGAGGTAGTAAACAAGATTCTTGGAAATCTGCCGAAATATTTCGTTGGGAAGAATTGAAGCAATGGGATTTAATTCTTGCTCGGGCCGAGTTTGCATACAACAGAATCGTAAGTCAAAACACGGGCCACACTCCATTAGAGGTCGTGTACGGGCACAACCGATTAGTCCACTGGAATTGATGTCGCTCCTACCGACATCACATATTAGTGAAGATGCCAAGCAAAGGGTGCACGAGGTTCAAAACTCCAAGCAGAAGTAGGAAAAGAAATCGCTAAGAAGAATCCCAAGTACCAAGCACAAGCAAACAAGACATGGAAAATAGGTGACCTTTAATGAAGGGGACTTGTATAAATCCATCTGAAGAAAGAGATATTCTCAGTAGGAATATTTGGGAAACTCAAGCCCAGAGCAGACGGACCTTTCAGAATTCTCCGAAAATTGAATGATAATGCATATAAGATTGACCTGTCAGGGGATTGCAATGTGTCAGCCACGTTCAATGTTGCGGATTTCACGTTGTATTATGGAGATCCAAAATCTTTGACAGATGACGCGAAGCTCCCCCAACACCAGAATACTGGCGCGAAGCTGGTCCAACTGAATCAGCCAACGCAGTGGTCAGTCCAACAGGGGCGGCAGTGCCCCTCCTCCTTATTGTTTTCCGCCTAGCTATCCTCTAGTTATATGCATGTTTGTTGAGTTTAAGGTGAGGTTATGTTTCTTTTAAATTTTTGCCTATAAGCTTCTTCCCCTTGATCGAGTTGTATCAAAGGACATGCGGTGCTTCGAATATATCGTGCTCCGAGGTGGTGATTATCCCCTTTGATTTCCCCTACAACGCATCCCCTACCTACCTACAGCAACCGGCCAACAATTGTCCAGTCGCCGCCCATTTCTTCCCTATTTCTTGACCCAGCCACCGCCCACTTGTTCCTTGTTTCTTGACCCAGTCGGGGCCCACTTCATCCATGGTTCGTGACCCAGTCATTGCCCCCTTCTAGCCATATTTCTTGACTCAGCCACCCCTTCTCTCCTTATTTCTTGACTCAGCCACCCCTTCTCGCCTTATTCCTAGTTCAGCCACCACTTCTCCCTCTATGTGTTGACCCATCTGTCATTGCCCTTAACTCTTTCCCAACCATCAAGCACCCACAACTTCCCTCTTTTTTCTAGCCATCTAAACCTTACCCTATCTCGCCTTAGCATTCGACCACAACACAGACATCACCGTTGTCCCCAAAACATCCTACCCGACCCTAGTCGGATAATGTTGTTAGTGTGCTTTCAAGTCCCTTTTGATTTCTGATTGCAATTTGATTTGTCTTGAAAATAATATTTTTTTCAAATTTGCGGTTGGATTAATTTTTGGTACATCAATATATGCCTTGACGATCTTACAATTGCCAAAAGCACATAAATATATCAAATATTCATACCTATTGAATGTTCAGTTGAGCTAGAGTTCATTTTGAAATTATTTGACAAGAGAACATGTTACTCAAGAACTTTTGCAACTCAAGGCACATGGAATTAAAAAGATACCATCACATTTGGGTCTATTAAGGCAGGTGAAAATGAAAAGTGAAAATGAAAACGTCAAAGAAATGTAAATTGAAAAGAAAGAATGCATGCTTTCTAAAGTAGTTTAACTTCATTCTTTCGAATCACATGGATTAGTGAAGTACCAATCTGTGAGCTCATGCTCCCACTTACATGTACATTGGAGTGTACTCTATAAAAGACATCTCAAAATCTACAATGGTTACCAAAAAAATAATAAAACTATCCAAACAAGGGAGAGAAAATATACCAGTTTATAAAAAGGTGCAATAAGAGAAAAAATCATGGCTTAAGATTTTGTAGACAGTGGAAACATGAAGTAAAAATCAAAACATATATATGCAGATATTCAATACCTTGCTAAAAATGTCTCTATTTCCAGAATTGTTTCTTGCACCAAACCCTGCTGCAGTCAGCACTTGTCGTAGAATTTCAGTCCATGAAAGAGAATTCAGAGACTGATTCCAAATGTTAAAATCAAACTCCCGTTCTCTTATCTGCATTACCAACCGATGCAAAATTCAGGAAACTTAAGGTCAATGAGACATAATATTGGAGGCTTTTGTTGTTATATATGAGGGGGTTGTGCATGACATGGCAAGCAAGGGATTTCTTCTTTTGGGATAATGGAAAAGCATCAAAGAATAAACAAATCAATGTTGATTTATCAAGCAAAGGTAGAAGGCCTTGCATTGTTCAAATCGTTAAACTTAAACTAGTGAAGAATTAGAGTGCAAAACCAACAAATGAATAACAAAATGGAGTAAAAATATGATGAGAAAAAGCACGTGGTTCGATAAATTGATCAGATTTAAACATCTTACTAAAATGTTTCAACACTACATGATTGGTAGCTTTACACTCCCACAACAAGTTTTAGATACTAACAGAACATTCTTCAATGAAGTTAAGAGCTTAGCCAATTACGAAGAACAGACATCTTTATGCATAGAGCTTAAATATAAGAATTTTCCTTTACTTTCTGTTATAATAGTAAAAAAAACTAACAAAGAAGATTCAAAAAGTACCATTTCATTAAAAAAAAACAAATAGTTGCAGCGTTATTAATCCATAGCATGCAAGCAATCAACTCAAATGTGCAAGGGTCCTTCACATTTGATGACACAAATAATAACTAAAGAAGAATTCCGGACTTGAACTTTGATGAATACCTATTCAGCATATATATATAATATATATATATATATATATATATCCTAATATTTAAAATTAACTAGAAACTCCACCTTAGAAAATATTACCCATTCAGTCCTCTCAAGCTTACATATTTGAAATCCAGATCACATCAAAATAATCTTGAGATAAACTCCTAAATGTAATCTGATGCATAATCAATTAAGTACATTTTTGCACCAGACAATTTATAATTCAACTTACAAAATGTAGAAAACTCAAAAATCTATAGTCCTTTGCACTACGAGAAATAAATCCAGCGGATATCTCCCTTCTCACACATGATAGGAGGAGTTTGAGAAGCTCCACGTGAATTTTTCCCAATAACAATGAATCCTGAAATTCATAAACACAATTCAATGAGATCAATATCAATAAGAACTTAGATTTTGACGATATCTAAGAAATCTTGATAAAAGTATGGATTGGCTGCACAAACTGACCTTATCTTTGAATGCCTGAACTAAGTCATCAACTGTAAAAGGGCATATTTCAATGGAAGTAGCATGATTATACAAGAACTGAAAGACCTGGGCACGCAAGAAACACTAGATATTACAATTGCGCAACAGAAAAAGAATATGAATGTATGATATGCAAGTTAGCTTGAAAGAAAGTAGAGCATAGAAAAACTTCCCTCTTTGTGCCCTCAAATGTGCATCTTTTTATAATTACAGGTCTTCGCCTACATCCAAATTTAAAAATACTTTTGGTCTTAATACAATGAATTCCACAGAATGCCCATCTGATACAGTTAATATAAGGCAACCTAAAAGTGATGTAGTTTAAAAGATACAATAAGATTTTCTACAATATTTTAAATTATAATCAGAATTCTATTTTAAGCTTCAAATGTCTATAAATATCTTTATTCCTAATTACATGATAGAACTTTTAGGACTACAGTCTTGAATTTTAAATTTGTTTGAAATCAAAGGTGACGCAATTCTTAAAATATAAGTTTTGCTTCTGTAGCTGAGTCATCAAATTATGAATTAAGTTTGAACTAGATTGTCCTTCTATTTTCTTGTACAAAGCCAACCTCTCATCCTATTGCTCACCCCACTCAGCTTAGCTCATCCTGTTCCAAATTTTTGGAGATTAAAAATTTTCCTCCAGAAGCACAAATGCCAAAGCAATTAATAAACTCTACTTCGCTCACTTCAATCATCTCTCATCTAACCGAAAATTTCAAAGAGAAGAACTTACAAGAAAGGTATACCGAAGAAGGAAATTTAAAAACGAGTTTACAACAATAGTCCAACATTAAATTAGCATCAAGCTTTGCATTAATATCCAACCCACAATAAAAAAAAAAAATTTGACCTTATATGCCTCATAGTAGATGTAACTGGCAAAATATCCCGTTTGTATGTTTATCTAAAGAAATGAACCAGAAAGTTCATTTATAATCAAATTACCTCAGACAATACTAAAACGAGTTATAACTATATACTAATGCTAGCCCTCAAATAAAAGAGTGGTCACACCTTCCCCGAACCTTTCTGAGGTAAGCTCAAAGCTTGTGTAAATGGTCTATGATAAAATTTCACAACGAAGGTCTCAATGTTCCAACCATCTTTCGTTCAAGATAAGTAACGCAATACTTCTGGTTATACATGCATCACTATATTCACTGGCAAATTTAAGTAATAAGAAGAAATAGATTAGAGAAGAACCCCGGGTCCACAAAAAGAATAAAGCTCAAAATTATAAAATAGGTCTTGAACATTGTTCTAACCTTACTCACACAGTAAATCCTAAATATCCACAAACAACATATTATATGTCACAACTATTTTTGAGTCTTGTTCTAACAAAGTCCGAATCATATTTGAATTTATTCAAAACTCACTCAAACTATCTTTGAAACTTGCACTTACAATATTTGAAGTTTTTCAAACCATGTCCAAAACATCTTCGAATCTTATTTGAAACTTGATCAAAACCTCTCTTAAAACCATGTGGGACAACCAAGCAAGGTTCAAGCAAGATTCAAACATCTTCAAATATGGCAAGAGCAAGTTTAAAACAAGATTTGAGAAAAGTTTTATAGTTCAAACATGGTTTGAACCCTTTTTGCTTTATTTTCATTAACTTATATGAAGTTAATTTATTTGAGATGACTTGTTATATAAGCAGATGAACACAATAACCATACCTATAGAGAGGCATCTCATTACTTCATTCACATGCAGAACCAGCGGTATAATGGAGAAATTTGTAAGATAGTTAAATCATTTGATATTATTCGAAGAATTGATTCGACATTTAGACAGCTTTTCAAAGCCTTTGAATTGCAATTCGTTAAATCCCTAATTCATCAACTACTGTTGATGATGAGATGATCGAAGATCATAAGAATGAGATGTAATCTCTAGGTTCAACAATGGAGAGAAGGGCACAAGATTTGGGGTTGTTGAACTTGCTTTGATCACTTGATTGTTAAATTGTGAATTTTTCTATGACATGAGCAAAAGTATCAACCACATTGATGGCTACTTAGATAGAGACAAAAAATTCAACAATGCAAAACTAGAGAGAGCATTCATGTTATACACAAAGAAACATGATGTGGTGAAGTTATGTTTATATTATCTTGTAAATAATATTAAGCATAATCATAATGATAAGATCCATTAAGCGGACACCACTCTAAAGAAGAATGCCCCAGCTTGATAGAAGTTACCCGATATGACATAGCATTGCAATAATGGACTTACGCAGTCATCCCAAACCTAAAAGGAAAATAAGTCAAATACCTTCAAAAAAAATATTAAGCCAGTGCACATAAGCAAAGCTTATTTAACATTATTAATAAGTGAAAATGCAAGTTCTTTAACCATATAATTGAATATTAAGTGTTATGTTAATAATAATTAGCGGCATTTACATACATACCACATAATTTTTATGTATAACAGACTTAACACTTGAACGCTCATATTTACATGCATTCCACTCAATTTTTTTAACATCACATCGAAAATACCATCATTATCATTTTGAAAGTGAAATACACCTTTCATGGATAGGATTATGACATTTCATGGATAGGTTTATGACATCAATGTGTTATAAGTGTAAATATCAAATTTTGGGCGTCAATATGTAAATACATAAAAATTGTGTGGTATGCATTCAAATTTCCCTAATAATCAATTATCAACTTTCAAACATGCTTTGAATTATTTTTGTGTAATTATAAACTCTAGAGTAGTGCACAGAACTGACAAAAATGTCTTCTATAAGTCTATTGTATGTAATCCTCGGCCTTCACTAATTAGAGATGTGAAATAGAAAAAAATCACCATACAATTTGAAGGCGAGTGTGGTGACCACACTGAGAAAAACTAGTAGACATAGCTACAGAACAAGCAATTACTAGCCAGTCCATGCCCTTATCCGACCAATTAAAGCAGGGTTTTGTAGTTATTAGGAATATGAAGAACAATCAATTGAAATTGAAGCAAAAGTTAGATGCTCTAACTACTTTTGTCCAAAAAATGTGTATACAAAAGCGAAGAAAAATAAAAGAAAAGTACGGACTCGGAAAAACCACACTTGGCTATCCTGAGAGAGTTTTTATACAAGTTCTGAGTCAAATTTTCAAAAGTAAATTAGATTTTTAAAACACCGCCTAAAAATTTTTACCACATTTTTCAAAATATTTAAGATATGGTTAGAGATGTACCATAAGCTCAAGCCCTACGATTATTTAACCATCTTAATAACAAGACAAAATTTATTATTAAGGTTAGTCGATTAGGCATTAATTACTCAACATATAGTAATATCAATTGAGCTTTAAGCTGAAGGAAGTTTATAACGATTCCTGTAGCATGAATGATGAGGGAATCATGACAAACCCAACAAAAATTTCACAATTTTTCTATCACGAGTTGTCATAAATAATGGTTTACTTAAAAGAGTAGAACCAATTGAAAAATCATTATCAGCAGTGATTAGTTGCATCTAAGAAAATATTGTACATAGGGGATGTATGTTTATCTTGGGAAAAAATTCTAAGCCATCCTTAGCTAACAAAAAGCTTAGTACTATGCCAAATATACTCTACAATTTGCTTCACAATAGAGTTGAACTATTAGAAAACTTACAGGCTTTGGCCATAAATGTAATTTAGTGATCTGATTTAGTGGCATACCACCACCACGTCAGAAGGTCTCAAACATAGCCATACTTTTGTGGTGTCATCTATCAACAAATCATTTTTGTTAGAGGATATGCAGCACGCCCTCACAATGCTGAAATCTTCTGAGAAAAAACATATATGTGTGCTTGATATGATATCAAGTTTTTGTGAATTTAGATTAATCATAAATTTATCACATATTGCAATGTTTCGAAGGGTGGATAGATTTTATTTTAAAATTAAAACAATAAACTTCATTTGAATATTTTTATATCTATATTTTTTTAGGTTTTTATATTTTATTAAAATTTAAGCCTAAAGTAATTAGCAGTATAATTTAGTGCAATTTTGATAATAATGATCCGCTCCAATTAAGATTTTCAACCAACGAGATGATCATTAGAGTATTTGAATGACTTTATTTTATCACACTTTGTCGACTCAGCCAGCTTGCTTGTAGAGGGTTGTTGACCTCATTTTGAGGTCATTACTTTTTTTCTTAGAATCCTAGGATCTAGCTCTAGAAGTTCCTATAGACTATCTTAGAAAACTAGTATTGGAATCTATTTCCTTAGAAATTTCATCCACTTCTTATTTCTCTTGTGATATCTCGCATTGATGATCTCAAAACCATCGTCGTATGGTCGAGTGGTTAAGGACTGTCATGTGGAGACTCAAGAAGAAGTTCTCAATAGGATCTCAAGCTCTAAGAAAATCTCTTCAGGACCTTATCATCGCACACACACACAAAATGCACAAAATTCACTAAGTTGCACAAGATCGGACTAAAATTGAGCCTAAAAGATGGGTGAAAATGCGAACTTCTCTGGACGATCTCCGACGATAAAATGGACTGCGTCAACGCGTCCAGGACACCAATTTTAGCTAGGAAAGACACACATATTGTCATAATTTCCGAACACAAGAAACTTGCATGCAAATCGATGAATTCGTCAAAAAGACCTCCGATGATAAAACGGACCACACCAACACGTCCGGAACGTCAGAATTACCTAGAAAGAATATCTATTTTGTTATGTTGTGATGCACGAATAAAAAGTACAAATCAAATTTTTATTTTTGAAATATTAAATATTTTTTATATTTATATCATTATTTATAATAAAATTTATAACCCTAAACCCTATTTACCCCTTTCCCGCACACTTAACTCTCCATTTGGCCCATCCCACGGCTCGATCAGCCGTCCGGCTCGTCCCTGTGTGCCCAAGATCATGTGGCTCATCCATGCGGCAATCTCCCTCTCTCTCGACTCTTCTCCTTCCTTGCATGGCAGCTCGACCTCTCGACTCTCCAATCGTGGGAGCCCGGGGCTGGCCGAACTTCTCCTTCTCAAGGCTTTACTTTCTCCTCCTT